TGTTGTTGTTGTTGTTACTATTGTTGTTGTTTATAATTTGTACAATTAACTTCCCTGTGGTTCAACTGCGGTCTTGCCGGGTTATTTATTATTTCGACACTCATGCACTTGAGAGAAGATATCAATCTTTTAATCGTGTCATGAAACCAACGAAAAAAGTTAATATATGCCCTCTTTGCCGACCTTCTCCTCTCCTATTTCTCCTTCTTCCTAATCCCAACTCTCCCCATCTGCAAACAACCAGCCCCCCTCCCCCCCAAACAAAAACCTCCCTCATCTTAGCACAACAAATTATATTTCTTAAAGTTTTGTGGTCACAATATCTGTGTTCTGATTTATCGATGGATTTTATCAATTTCTATAAGTAATTCTATCTTTTTAAATTTTAATATTTAAATGTCAATTTTTTTTTAGTATTTGTATGTTGTTAGTAGATGTACATGTTTTATTATTATTTCTCAAATAAACTTGTAGTATATGAATGTATAATTTTATACCTGAATCGATGCCTCCAATCAATGCATGGTTTGACAAATTTGAGGTTGGTGTTAATTTATAATTTTCAGCTTATTAATAATAAATTATTAATATAATTGTAAATAAATTATTATTTTTATTTGAATTAATTATTTATACACAGGACAAATTCTGTTAGGACAGTGAGCATGACACTGTTGTGAGAAGGGTGTGGGAAAATCACGCGGCAACTAGGTAACATCGAAAACAATACAAGTTTTTTTTAGACAAAAATTTATGTTTTGAAATGTAATTTTTGGTTGCGTGAAGTAGGTTGCGTGATTTTTGGTATAAAGCACAACAAAAGGGTAAAAAAAACTGTGAAAGATAAGGGTTTCTAAGGCTGGAACGATATTGCGGTTTAGAGGGATTTCAAACCGATATACATCTCGAAATATATATGGCCACACTATCTTGAGCACGTGACGTCTGAGCAATTCACACAACGCTCACAGTTCGGTGCCGACAATCTGAATCAGCCAATTCATGGCTCGGTGACAACGCACACCGATAACTCTGTTCTGTGTGTTGCACATGCGAAACAGATGGTAAAATTAATTTAAATGAAATATATCATTAAATTAATTTGTTATTAATAAATCTTTTTTCATTATAGGCTACGTCTCTTGGATGTGAGCTGAGCCCGATGGAGCTATTTGTGGAGAAGCATATGAGAAGTCAAGATCACCAAAAAGGGGCGCAACAGTTCGTTGACAACCATGCTCAACATTTCATGGTATGTTTGTTCAACCATTTTATTTTGTAAGTTATTATGTTTATTGAATTGAATATGATAATCACTTTTTTTTTCAGGAGACCTACAATAATAGGTTGAGGGAGAGATACGGGGACGATCCTTTGACCCATCCAGAATTCGATCCGGATTTGTGGATGGAGGTTGGATATTCTGGTGGATCCAATAAAAATTGGATTTGGATTTCATACACTCACTGATAGATTTACTAATGGAATTAATCCGCCGGCATTTGACAGTAGCTGTCACAATTACCGATGAATTTACAGACGGATATATTCGATCGGTATTTCAAACCCTCACCGACAGCTTTACCGACGATATGTGTTTATTGGTAAATCACGCTACCACTGATGGGATAACATCTGTCGATATATTTCAAGAGGGAAACTTTTTTTTTTGCTCGCGAATTCTGTCTGTAAAACTATCGGCAAATGGTTTTTTTGTGTTTCCGACCGATATAGCGATGGAATGTGGAATTACCGATGAAAGGAATGCCGATGGATGTATTTTGTCAGTGATGACATCGGTAAATAAATTATCGACGAACTCGTAATCACACACTGACGAATTATTTTCGTTGGTAAAACTGTGAAATCTTGTAGTGATAAAAATACATTTCATCAATTTATTTTCTCTTTACAATATAAAAAAATTAAATAAGAGAAAAAAAAATAAAATTAAAAATATCTTAAGAGGAAAAAAAATTAAAAGGAAAGAAATTAGTTGTCGGTGTATAAGGCATTGCTATGTTATACACTATTCATGGTGCTACTGTAAAAAATATTTTGTTTAAATATGATGACTGTGCAAATACATTCCATATCTTTAACCCACCCGAAGCATTTTTATATTTGAAAAACAAAATGTTATTGACCTGCTGCAAGCGCAAATCAATATGCTAATTATTATAATATTACATAACAATTATTTAAAAAAAAAGTATATTCAAATAATTTTTTTTATTTTTTATATCATCACATTAAAATAATACAAAAATATCAAAAAATGTTAATTTGAATTAGAAAATAAAATTAAAAATATCTTAAACAAAAGAAAGCTGTCAAGCTAGGCCTAAGATTTCTTAGGTCTGGCAGCCGAACCAAACCCAATAACCTTCTCCCACTGTTCTTTATTAATTACTATCTCTTCTATATATGAGGCTTATAGTCACTTTTTTAGAAAATTTAAAGTTTTAGGAACTTCCATCGCTGCTAAAAGAGCATTCGTATTTGTATTGAAGTGATTTGTACCTGATTACCAAACTAGACTCAATATTTTTTGGAAACAATTCGAATTTACTTTCCAAATCAAACCTAGTAGCGTTGGATTTGATTGTCAAGCCAGACCCAATATCTTTTGAAAATGATTTAATTCCAGTTTTTAAGATAGAACCAATAATAATAGGTCTTGTTCCTAAATAGAACCTAATAATTTTTAGTATAAAAAATAAAAAAGACAATGCTCGTAACAGTATTTTTTAACTAAAAAATAAAGTGAAGACAATGCTTCCTTTAAGTGTTACAATATCATTAACAATACAAACATTCTATATTTACATAATGATTTATAATACAATAAACCTATGTTCCACAGCAATTTTTCAACGCTTAATGTGTTGTTCATTATTATTCTTACGAATGAATAGCCTTTAGTTTTGAAATATTAAGGCCATGGAGACAATGATTCTTCTTCTTCATCTCATCAATAACCGCGTGTCGACTCTTCTAGAAAAAGCCGAGCTCCTTCTTAAATTGACAAGCCACTTTCATTAATAAACCATTAGTGTCAGTCACTACGAGCACTGCACGGTGCTCCCAATTCACTATTATCTATTGACAAGATTTGGTGGCATCTTTTGTGTTCACTTTTACTTTTACTTTATCCTTCTATTTTCAGGAAAATAATTAATTGTCTGTACTTAGTGGTGTTAGTCGTAAGTTGATAGAGTATCTACCACTCAAATAAAAATATACTTTTATGAATATATTTAATATATTAAATTTATTATCAACTTATATGTTTCAAAAAAAATTCTTAGAAAAAAATTATATATAGAGAGAGGTGCTTGACAAAATTCACATATTTAAAAAGTAAAAAATTTCTTCATAATTCATATATTATAATAAAAAAACTCTCAATTAAAATTAATATATATATATATATATAATAATTATAAAAATTTTCTAATTAATTCCTAGTGTTTCAATATCAGCCTATTTATAAGTCTAACATTTATACTAAAATGTTGACTATTAGTTTTTATAAATTAAAATTTTCATCAATAATATGTCTAGCATTAAAATCTCTCATTTTTTATAAATAAAAAAACAATTTTAATCAAGATTGGATGAATGCAAAAAATAAAAATTATTTCTAAATTTTTTTGTAAGGGTCATGTTTGTCAAAACTATATTTTTGTTCAAAACAAAATTGTCACATCAAGCCAAAGGATATGTTTGCTAAATATACACTCAAACCAAAATTAATTTTATCAAAACAATGACAAACCAAATAAAGCCTTAAGTATTTGACCTCGTTTTGACCTGACTAGGTCAACTTGAAAACATCGATTCCATTATGAATCAAACCAAAGACCAGGATTTAACCCAAAATTAAACTAGAATAGAGATCTAAACCAAAAACAATCAAAACTATAAAAAAAACGCAGATAACATAAAATTATCTAACAAAAACTTATTAAACACCAAGGAAAATGAAGAACATGAAAAACATTCAAAACTCAAATTTAGAAATATAAACATCAAACCAGACTTGATTCTAAGTAATAAAAGGCAAGGTTTTGTTTGCAATCAAGCAAAAATAAAAAATCATGATTTTTATCAAAATGGGTTTCGATTCAAAACTAAAATTTTAAGATTATAACTCATAAAAACATATTATTGATGCTCGAAAACCCTAGATTTTTTACTAATAATGTAGATTCTGGAAAAAATCAAGGCTGGATTATTTTTTTTTTTTAAAAAAAAAGCTTTATGAAAATGGAACATAAATGTAAATAAAAATAATTATAGAGCATAAATACCCTTCTTATTATCAAAAATTCACAGCAACCGTAAGAAAAGAAAAGAGGGAGTTTTTGTATCTGATATGACCAAAAGATTGATGTCTTTTCCCAAGTACAGGAGTGTTGAAGTAATAAATAACCCAGCAAGACTAGGGTCGAACCAAAGAGAGGTTAACTATATAAATTCTAAACAACAACAACAACAATAAGAACAAAAAGTTAAAAAGGATTTTAAGATAGTAAGATTAATGTGAGGATTAAACAATGATAAAAACAAATGTCAAGGTTAGAGGATCCACTAATGGTATTTCAAATAAGTATAGCATCTACTTTTTTTATTACTCAACTAAAAACCACATACAAAGGAGGCTCCAATCGTATTATAAATTGTTAACATAATTACATTAATTGTGTTATTAGAATAATGATAATACATATAAATGTTATCAGGTATTCATGATTATAATTTATGTTAACAACAAATCAAGTTTCTTTCATAGCACAGGTGTAGGTTATACCATATGGTTAAGCTATGAAAGTGTCAAGTATTTGTTGTACCAAGTGTTATACAATATAAATCTAGATTAACCATTTAACAAGCAAAGTATTAAGAGTGAACAAGATAACAAATACAAAATATGTTACTATCAAATGATGAAATTATCGCTGACAAAGAAATTATCAAAAGTATGATTTGAGGCGTGAACTAGCATCCATTTAGTGTATATTAAGATCCTGGGTAAAAAGATCACCATGTATTGGCTTTTATATATTTAGTGTATGTTAGGATCCTAGATAAGGGGATTACCATGTGTTGGCTAGCATGCATTTAGTGTATTGGCTAGCATGCATTTAGTGTATTGTTAGGATCCTGAGTAAAGGGATCAACTATTTATTGGCTAGCATATATTTAGTATATATTAGGATCATTTGCATCGACTCCTACTAGGAGAAGTGAATGAAAAATGAATGCATATTGACTTTTTAAATTGTTAGATATTTGTGTTATTATATTTATTGTGGTATTCATGTTTCAATAATATGTATCTTATTTCAAGACCATCATATGTATGACAAGAGTAAATCCTAACTTATGTTCACTTCTTGTAATCTAGGTTTTAGGAAGCATATCCTTGTGTTTTGTAAACATGAAAATGTTTATATAACTTAATTTATATAATTAACGTTTAAACTTGATTAAATAAATTTAACTCTATAATTCAAATAATCATGTTTCATCTATGCATATCTATATTTTTATCCATTCATAATGATATTTGTTATATAATGTATATCATAAATATTGTGGTTGATATGTATGATGATGTTGTAGGATTAAGATCCAGGATTATTAAGACCTAGGATGATCTTATTAGAAGTGTAAACAGGTTAAATGTCGATAACTTGGGACCTCCCGACCTCTTGGTATGAGGGAGATTTCATTGAAATTTTGGTAGACTTTAATATGAACACTATGAATAAATATAGAAAAAAAAATTAACCACTCTGTTTTCGGTTAACATGAAATTGTTGTCTTTATCCCAGAAGAGGGGATGATATATGAATTTGTAAAGACCAAAATCAAATCAAAATGAAACCTAAAACTAGCACTCAAGATAATGTTTTTTAAATGAACATGAAAAATATGAACCCATGTTGTCTAGAAAATACATTTTAGGCTTCCAAACGAAAAATCTCTTAGCCTTAACAAGCCACATTATTATAAACAAATAACTTTGAATAAAAAACACTAACAAATAACCTAGAATCATTAAGAATATGTATAAGATTTCAACTTCTAGAAAAGCAGCCCTATTATCAGCCAACAAAAACATCAAAACTCAATTCAAAATTGATTTTTTTCAACACTTAAGACCCAAACTAAACTCAATAATCAAGAACATGTTATAGCAACTAAGACAAAGTCATTAGACACCTACCACTACCTTTGATAGATTCCAAAACTATTATATTTCATCAAAACCAAACACATAAACACATTTTAAATATCCCAACAATATTAATAACTTCAAAACAAGATTAATCAATAAAAACAACATTTTCGTTCATCAATCCATATAAATGCTAAAACATAAAATAATTTTAAAAATACTAAAAAATGATATTATGCATTGAAAAAGCATGAATGAGAAGGACATATGGACTCCACCCTTAAGTTTTCACATGGTTATACCTTCTTTAAGTTTGTTAGCTATAGGCTACTACTTCCCTTCTCTTTTTCTTTCTTCTTTCTCTTCCACTTTCTATTCTTTTTAAAGCTTGTTATACATTCTACATTAGGTCTTTAAACATTCATACTAGGTCATTTTTCACAGAGTATATCCTTATGTTTTTCTCTCTTCCTTCTTTATTTTTTTCTTTAATTTCTAGGTGTATTTATAGGGTTTTTTAGATTTTTTTTGGTGCATTCCCTTAAATATTGATTAAAGCTCAATCATTAGATCAAAATAAAAGAGCTCTAAACAAATGTTAATAGCTAGAACCTTTGTCTTTCTATGATTTTTAGGGATGGTGGTTTTGCCTAGGTGGTTTTCTTTTTATTAGAGACAAAGACATGCATTTCTCACATTCTGATCTTGGATGAAAGATTTATGGCCTTTGATAAGAACTCTCTGAGAGTTTCTAAGTGTGAACATAGAAAAAGGATAAGTTGTTTTGTAAAAACTAGATATCTCAGTTAAAGCTTAATTGAGTTGACCACTTTCGAGGTTTTGCTAAAGAAACTTCAATGTAAACATCATTAAAGATGACTTGAATCTAATAGAGGAGATGCAAACCTTTTATTTGGATCTATCCTTACTTTATTCAAAGATCTGTAGCTTTATATTTATTCACTTTAAAGTGTTAACATGATTAGCCTAGAATCTGAAAATATAATGATAGTTGGTTAGGGATAAGATGTTGGAGACTTTACGAGATAATTAAGATGTAAATGTCCAACTTCATGGAAATGATATTGTAGAGGAGATGTTCTTCTTTCATTTGTAAAAAACTCCATGGCATTCGAAGATCTAAAACTCTATAACGAGCTCTTGAAAAGTGCTAACCTGATCATCCAAAACTACCAAGGAAAGAGATGAACAGTGGATAAGCAAAGCGTTGTCTAGATTAAATATCTAGAAATTAGGGTTTTAAATTGGAATATGACAGATTTCATTTTTGTCCCTATTCTTTCAATTGCTTTTAATTTTACTAATAATTGTCTCTTAAACTCTTAATTTCATGAAATTTCACTTCTACTAAACTCAATTATTAGACCAAAAGTTTAGCATCATTTTCATTTTGGTCCCTAGTTTCTGATTTGTGCATTTAGACCCTTAATTGATCATCAAATTGAGCCCTTTATTTGACCAATTAAACTTTCCAAAGTTCAATTTCAATACCTTAAACTTTAATTTTTTTCAATTAACATCTAAATTGACTTCAAAAAATTATTTTTTCATACAATTATGTCCTAAATTAAGCCTTTTAAAATCCTCTTCAATTCCTTTCTCCTTCAAATTTATATTCTTTACTGTAAATAAAAAAGTTTCACCAAATGAGTTTTTTGTCAATTAGAATTAGACTACTAATTTTATTAATATTTGTACATTCTGGCCCTTTAAATTTTCCACTTGTCATTTTGGTCATTCTCCACTAACTTGGAAAATCTTCTAAGCTTTATTTATGTGTAACCTCTTGTATTTTGAATTTTTTATTTTATTTTTTAGGTAAAAAATGGGTAACAACAACAATTATTCTTTTTCTAAATTATGTATTATTACTACTTAAATCTCTAAAATCCTCACCTTATACAAAAGAAACCAAAAGTGCATTTAAAAATATAAAAGTATATTTAAATTTTGGTTAAGATATATTTGAATATCATTAAAGTCATAATATAACAATCTATATAATATGTCATTTAATAGCAAAACTTAGGGTTTTTATATCTATAAATTTTTACGTAAAATAAATAAATAAATAAATCTTATAGTCAATCATATATATTTGAGAAGTTTTTTTTTTTTTGTTAAAAAGTAATGATTTAATTACCAGTAAGAGTTTTGTTCAGCAGTGTTCATTAATTTCTCTTATAATTTATATTTATATGTAGGATTAACAATTACAAATTACAATTACAAAGAAATCTAAATGAGATGGAAAAAAAATACTATACCTCCTCTCACATATGAGTATTGTTTTTCCTTCTTTTTTTAGAAGTACTTTTTCTTTGGTTGTCAAATCTTTTCTTTTATAAAAAATCATTTTTCCACTTTAAATTAACTAAGAACTAGACTTGATAATATTTTTTTATAAGGGTATTGCACGTCAAAAACTGTCATGACATTGGGTTGATATTTCATTTTGCAAAAAAACAAATTTAATACTTGCAAAAAATTTAAAATGTAAGGACCAAATTTGTCAGTGAGACAAAATAATAGGCTTTTTTAAACTATTCATAAGGCTCGTTTTTTAAAAATTCATTTCCTCCAAAATATGTTCCTTTCCTATTTGGGTTCCTCTAATATGAAACTTTTACATTGTAGTTCAAAAATTTATTTTGTTTGTATTTCAATTTATGAGTTAGAGAAAAAAAGAGATAGTCATCGAAATATGATGGAGGAAAGAAAAAAAAAGTTAGATGACCATATTTTGTGAAAAAAAAAAAACCAAATTCAGTGTCAATGTATTCCTTTTGAGAAGAAAAGTGCTATTTAAGTGTCTTTTAGCTTCCGAATTTCCCATAAAAGTAAATCATGATTGTAAAGAGGTTTTCTTATGATTTCTTTTTATTCTTTTTATTTGATTTGGACTTATTTTGAGTTGAGAATTTAGTTTATTAAGGTTCCAAATATTTTTATTAAGTGTTTTTTAGATGAAAATGAGTAAAAAATAGTTTTGTTGGATCCAAGAAACCCCAACTCAAATTTTAAACTACGTTTTCAATTATTAAAATCTAAGTAGTCAAGCAATGCATCATCTATGCTATTTTTTAAAAAATATAGATGATGTATTGCATACATCTAACCAAAATAACAAGAAGAATAGTCGTGAGGATGTGGCCTCAAATCCACATATATCATGTTTGACATTGTGGGTCCATGTGAGTGGGACCTTGTATTATGCCAAGCATGCGGGCCTCAAATCTTCAGCTTAGTTATTGGACTATTTTTATAGTTTTCTTCAAGATATTTTTAGATTTTTATTGAAACACATTATAAAAAAATACATTATACCTCCTTCCATCAGACAGTCATTTTGTATTTTACCTTCCAGGGTTTACCTAGATTATTCCCTGACCCATATAATCTCCTTCCATTAAATTTTCTCTATTTGGAGTGCATAAACTTGAGAATAATCCTTTCTCTTGAACAAGACAATTGTTGCTAGCCAACCATTGTTACGGTTTCCATTAAATTAGATGAACTTGGAATAATTTATTTGCTAGCAATGGTTGTTAACTAATGAGATTTTCCCAATAATTCAGTGCCCGTAATTTAAGGGTTGTTTGATTAAGAGTACGGTGATGGATCTTTTGTCTAGGCCTTCTATGCTTGAAAATGGTAACCAGGATAGTTCTTTGCTTAATGTTGTGAGTATTTCCTCCATTTTTATGCAATTTTGAGATCTTGTCTTTTTCTGCATTTAGTGCACACACATGTGCTTATTTGTGCCCAGAAAACTATTGTATGTTTAATTTATTTTTGATCATTCTTTAGGTATTTTATATTTGTTCTCAACTTCTCATAGGCATCCAATTTTTTACAGTTACTCAGTCATGCATTTTTTACGATAAATAATTTATCATGGATTCTTAAGGAAATCATCATCTAGACAAAAACTCCATTCATTGATTAAAAGAAGATGACTTGCTGATTGAACGATTTGACAATTCAAAAAAGAAGATAAAAATAGAAAAGCTTACTGATGCCCGAACGATTCTCATATGTATAGAATTGGCCCTTCAGTTTCCTTGCATTGCCACTGACGAATAGCCAGAAACAGCATGGCAAGAAAACTGTGACTCACACAAGCCATACACCAAGTCCGAGTTTGCAAATTCGCATCAAAGGACACCAGTCCAAGCACGGATTGGAACCACAAATCAGTCTACAATAACACTGCTCTACCATTAAGTAACAAATCATTCATAAAACCCACAAAACCAGAAAAGGTTACTGCACCAAAATTATCAAAGATGCTAGACTAGCATAGCACCATTCTTTTCCTGAGTAATGGATGACAGTACCAACATATTGATCATGGCACGATAGACAATTGTTAAAGATCTATACAACTTTCCCTCTAAACAGTACAGGTTATAAAGATACATGTGCCTCACTTGAGATTGACTGAACCCAAAGTGGTGCCGGTTAAACTGAAAAAGTTGCATGCACAGCATAGCACCAATTGCAGTAGCATATAGACTTGTAGTATGAGATGGTTGGATCTGGGGAACAAAGGCTGAGTAACAAGTGCAAGAACCCAGTTTTTAAGCAGCTAGCGTGATGCAGCTTAAAGATAAATCGGAAATAATCGAAACATTGAAAATAGGTGAAACTTGAAGACAAACAATGGAAAGCCACAAGAGTTTTTTTTTTTTTTTCAAATTCTACAAGATGGTGAACAAGCAGGCAGAGGACACAAGGCATTGCAAGCAGGAACTATACTGAATCATTTTGGTGAAATCAAAGTGACAGTGACCTTTCCAACCTAGAGTAATCCATCAAAAGACAAAACATCCAAGAGAATGTTGATATATTAAAACAAAACAGTATGATTTTATCAGCGGGCCTTCTTGAGGCGTTTGGGGGGCCTCATTGTTTCTTTTCTTGAATCATCAGCAGCAGTAGCAGCTCTTAATTCAACAAATGGCTGCAAGTAAGTTTTTTTGACAAACACTTAGGAGATAAGAACTGAATTGAGCCAAGTACAAGAAAACAAGAAAACAAGATAGTTAGATGGAGGGACGGAGTGACCTCTTGGCAATTTTTCTGTAGATCCAAAAGTTGCTGACAATAATAAAGGCACTGAGCGTGGTACTCCGCTGCCAGCTCTTTGATCAACCCCTTTCTCTTAATAATACCAATCACTATCTCAAGGTGAATTAATCAGTCAGGTAGATAGATAGACAAAAAAGAAAACCCTAGAAACAAGACAATACAATAGAAGAGAAGCGAAAGGGAATTTACTTCGACTGGGATCGAATGGAGTTGGAGGATCTGATTGTAATTCCGGAGCCCTAGTTTCTTCAGCGGCCGCGGAAGGAGGAAGAGGAGGTACAGTTTGTTTTTCTCCTTCTTCGCCCATTGGACTCCGACTCTCTCTCTGTCCTTGGATAAAATTTGCGAAAGAATTATTGCTATTGTTATTATTATTATTATAAAGCAGCACAGCACCTCTTCTGAGCGCAGATTACTTTTGATCCAAAAAGAAAAGCGCAGTGCGGTTAAAAAATATTTTTAAAAAAAATTAATTTGTTTTTTTTAAATTAATATATTTTTAATGTTTTTAAATTATTTTGATACATAAATTTTAAAAATAAAAAAATTATTGATATATTTTTTAAATAAAAAATACTTTAATAACTACATTTTAATTTTTCATATAATTTTTTGTATTAAAATATATATTAAGCACCTCTTCTGAGCGCAGATTACTTTTGATCCAAAAAGAAAAGCGCAGTGCGGTTAAAAAATATTTTTAAAAAAAATTAATTTGTTTTTTTTAAATTAATATATTTTTAATGTTTTTAAATTATTTTGATACATAAATTTTAAAAATAAAAAAATTATTGATATATTTTTTAAATAAAAAATACTTTAATAACTACATTTTAATTTTTCATATAATTTTTTGTATTAAAATATATATTAATAATATTTTTTTATTTTTTAAAAATTATTTTTGATATTATCAAATCAAAATAATTAAAAAAACTAAAAATATATTAATTTTAAATAAATATAAATTTTAATTTTTTTTAAATCACTTTTAAAATACAAAAATAAACAAGTCTGACCTTCTAGAATTTTAAAAATTTAACATCCAAACTATTTTTTACATTAATTTTAAGATTTAATTCTTTTAATTAATTATCTTTGTTAAAAAAAAAAAACTAAACAGAAACCATTAACTTCTCTATAAAATGATATCAGTTTCTATAAAAATCAGTATACTATGAATGAAAATATAAACCCAAAACCTGAGAGTTTTTGTTCTTTTAAAAAATAAGGGTAAAATCAATACATAATAATTTTTAATGATAATATCAGGACTGTATTGCTATGTAGTATTTTTGGTAAGCCTTTCTTTTTAAGGATGAAGAAAAAGATTCATAAGACAGACAATATTATATGTATTATAATTTGAGTACGAAATCAGGATGCCATGGATTAGGATTTTTCTTCCTCGTTCTCCTCCTCTTCTTGTTTTGTAAGTTCCCTGCTTTATTTTTCATTTGATTAATTCTTTAAAAAGTGGTGTGGTGCTATTCAATAGAGGGTATTATTTAAAAAAAATTAATGACCCAAATCAATTCTAATAACAAATAAAACAACATAATTAATTTATGTACTTTCCATAAAAGTTTTTTGATTTAGTTCAATTAGATTAGTAACCTATGCATTAATTTGAAGCAAAACTGGTGTGAACACAAGGGGAAAAAAATGAATAGGTACTGTGTTTTTCTAGTAAAAAAAAAAAGACCTTGAACTTAAAATCTAATACATATATTAAAAAAAATAGACTGAGAATTATATAAGTATATTTGCAATACTCATCAATCAGTTATGCATAAGTTTAATTTTGTTCATATATATATATAATTTATTAATAAATATTTATTTATCTTTAATATTCATCAAATATTTGATTAATGAGTATAAGGTAAAGATAAAACCTGTGAGATAAAAATAATTTGTAAAAAAAATTATAAAGTTATCATAATTATAAAAATTTTATTGCATCAAAGAATTGTTCTTAGTAAACAATCTATTAGAATTATATATTAATTAAAGTTGTTAAGACTGATGTGTATTATGTTATTTTCTTTATGAAAAAATAGTTTTTCTTATAAATAAAGGTATGAGAAATACTTAAAATTAATATGTGGGCTCTTATCAAATGACATATATTATACTAACTTATATGAGAATCCTATAGAAATCACTTATATCTATGAAAAGATTCATGTGATAATGGTGTAAGTGATTCTTAAACTCGAGGTTACTAAGTTATCTTATATGAAAAGTATTATATTTTGATCTTGCTACACATTATCCTCATCAAGGGTGATAAATAAGAATATATTAGACATAACATGAACTATATAAAGGTATTTAAATAATTAAGAAAAGATTTATCACCCTTGATAAATTAGAGAAAATGTTTTATATATTCTCAAATAGTATTGATTATAAACTTTGCGCAAGGTGAAATGAGACTTGAAAAGAGTTTCAAATTTTATTCAAAGAAGTAATAACTATGATATTAAGAATATGATTTGATATAGTAAACACATTTTATTCTATAATATCTAAATCAAAATATTATTAATGAAAGAATAATGATTATAATGAGAAACTAGTCATTAAAAAATTATATTAAACCACTTATGACTTTTCTAATATTTGGAGGATCATAATAGATTGATAAAGGTTGTATTTGATTTTTCAAATATAAATTAAATCAATTGTTGAATTGATAGTAATTTAATTTAATTTATTTAAAATTGTGATTTATATTTAAGCCAACTTAACATGACCAAAAGATTGATGTCTTTTTCCAAGTGTAAAATTGTCGAAGTAATAAATAACCCAGCAAGACTAGGGTCAAACCATAAAGAGGTTAACTATATATATAAATTATAAATAACAACAACAACAATAACAACAAGAAGTTAAAGAGAACTTTGAGATGTAAGATTGATGTAAGGATTAATCAATGATTAAAAAAATATCAACGTTAGAGGATTCACTAATAGTATTTCAAAAAAGTATAGTATAAGCTCTTTTTATTACTCAACTAGAAATCACGCACAAAGAAGGTTTCAATCGAATTATAAATTATTAACATGATTACATTAGTTATCTTATTTGAATAATACTAATACTTGTAAATTTTGTCAGGTATTCATGATTATAACGTATGTTAACAACAAATTAAGTTTATTTCATAGCACAAGTGTCGATTATACAATATGGTTAGGCTATGAAAATGCCAAATATTTATTGTACTAAGGGTTATAGAACATAAATCTAGATTAACCATTTAACAAGCAAAGTTTTAAGAGTGAACAACATAACAAATACAAAACATGTTAGTATCAAACATTAAAGTCCATGTTGAGTTTATACTATACTTATTCTTACACCATTAGTGTACTTTTTCACCTTGACATAATAAACTTAACTAAATATAATGAAAGTGGAAAACATAAATAAACAAGATAAGAACATAAATAAAATATAAGTTATCTAAGTCAAAGAAAGGAAATGAAAGGTCTAAATAAGATATTAATGAAAGAAAAACTTAAGCATTATAAAAAAATATAAAGAAAGAGAGCAAGAACATGATTTTGATCTGAAAACCAAGATGCCTAAATGCATGATAAATGTTTTTTTTTATAGACCAAAATTTAGAACTATTGATTTGTTGACTAATTGTTGAGTAGGTGGCCATATCTTGACTTATTGATAATCTTTATCTTTTTGTTTAAACAAAATATCATTGCTAACATCAAAATTTGAACATACTATACTCATGAAAGTTCTAGTAAATTGTGTTAGCTTTCCAACAAAGAAAAAAGTGAGGTCATTTGGGCTTCTAGAACTTGAGATATGAGTTAAACACTGAACAGTGTCTGAGCTACCAGATAGATATGAACTTCTTCGTTATTGCTAAAACTTGAGCTTGAAAATGACATTTCTAAATCTTGAACTCCATAAAAGTTTTAGGCCTATGTCTTAACTTTTTATCCATATATAGCATACATAAATCCAAGTTTTATAGCTTAAGTTATGATCTAATGACCAAACAGTGTTCCAGTTTAGATTGTACGAACATTTCTTTTCTAAGCTTAACCCTCTCTTTGTCTTCTCAACTTTAGTAGTTAAATTCATCAATTAATCTTTTTATTTATATGATAGACCTACATACCAGCATCTCTTTTCTAAGCCTAAGCCTCTCGTTGTCTTTTCAACTTCAGTAGTTAAACTCATCAATTAATCATTTTATTTATATGATAGGCTTGTATTTTAGATAAACATTTACAAAAAATTAAAGGTATTTTATATTTATTAGATATGTTATTATAAAACATGCTCTAATTAAAAAGTTATTGATACTTCAAGTGCAAAATGATGATATAAAACCTTGATAAAAATCAATTTTAAGTACTTATCACAACTTATTAGAGAATCTAATGACATATAAATAAGAACCATTGGTTGGAAATTAAAATAAGATATATAAATAAGATAATTAATTAAGTGTGACTTGCTTATAAATAAATTTTAGAAATTAAGGACCAGAGTGCAATTTATACAGGGAATTACAATTCTAGACATAGAAAAATCAAATAGAAAATTAATTGAATAAATTTTTAATTAGCCTAAAATAATATATATGATATTATTTAAGAGAAAAATTAATATTTTTTTAATTTATTGAGTTTTTAGATTTTCCTATAATTAAAAGATCATGTATCTTATTTCATGAGGATGGTGAAAAAGGTGAGTAGAGAACAATACTACTATATATAAAACATAAAAGAAAAGAGCTAGCACTCTAATGTAAAACAATTTCTTTATCCTAAAAGGGTTTAACACTCTAATGTAAAGCAATTTCTTTATCCTAAAAGGGTTTAGCACATTTTTTTACTGGTTGTTTATGTGGATTACCATTAAAGGTTAGACAATTTAACAACTTGTGATTTGTGATAATCCAGTTCTTGAAGCAAATATTCAAAGCTGTAAGCAACATCTGATCTTTAGGTAATCTTCATATAAAATCCTAAGACAATTCTAGATCTATTTAATGAGATCCTTGAGACTCATAAAATATTTAATTTTTTTTTTTTTACAATGTCTATATGGTTTGGGAAATTTTTTTTACAATGTCTATATGGTTTGGGAAACCCAATAATGGTAGCAGAGCCATTGTTAGACAATTAGAGTTGTTGTTTGCATATTTTAATTGATTAAAATGAGATAATTAATTAAGTATAACTTAACTATAAATAAATTTTATAAATTAAGGACTAGAATATAATTTATACAGTGGCTTATAATTCTAGACCAATAAATAATCAAGTAAGGACTTGATTGAACAG